CCACGAGTGCTGGCGCCACGCGATGCTGGACAAGATGACGTCCATCAAGGCGAGTGGCACCTGGGAGCTGGTCGAGCCGCCGCCGCACATGAGGCCGATCGGCCTCAAGTGGGTCTATAAGACCAAGAAGGACGCAGCTGGGGTCATCACCAAGCACAAGGCCCGGCTCGTCGCCAAAGGATATGTCCAGCGCTAAGGAGTTGATTTCGATGAAGTCTTCGCTCCAGTCGCACGACTTGAGTCCGTCCGACTGTTGCTCGCCCATGCCGCCTCTGAAGGCTGGGCGGTGCATCACATGGACGTCAAGTCCGCGTTCCTGAATGGCGTTCTCCAGGAAGAGGTGTACGTTGAGCAGCCCCCAGGTTTTGTGCTCAAGGGGCACGAACGCAAGGTACTCCACCTCGTCAAAGCTCTCTATGGACTCCATCAAGCCCCACGCGCCTGGTACTCCAAGCTAGATGAGTCGCTGATCAACCTCGGCTTCCAGAGGAGTTCTTCTGAGCATGCTGTCTACCTTCGCGGTGAATGCTGTCGCCGTCTTGTCGTGGGGGTTTATGTGGATGATCTTGTGATCACTGGAGGGAACCAAGCTGACATCGACGTGTTCAAGGCAGAAATGCAGGCAACATTCAAGATGAGTGACTTGGGTCTTCTCCACTACTATCGGGCTTGAGGTGGCATAGACAGAGACGAGCATTACTATAAGTCAGAGTGCCTATGTAGCTAAGATATTGGAGAATGTTGGCATGGCCGGGTGTAATCCAAGTCAAGTTCCAATGGAGCCACGACTGAAATTGAGCAAGGTGAGCACTGCTACTGCTGTTGATCCTACATTCTATAGAAGCATTGTGGGTTCCCTACGATATCTGGTGAATTCAAGACCAGACCTGGCATATTCAGTCGGCTACATCAGTCGGTTTATGGAGGCACCGACAACAGAGCATATGGCAGCTGTGAAATGAGTGTTGAGGTATGTTGCCGGTACCCTGCATTTTGGCTGCCATTATACTCGGAAGAAGCAGGCACAGCTCATCGGCTACAATGACAGTGATCTGGCCAGCGATGTTGACATAAAGAAGAGCACTACTAGAGTCTTCTTCTTCCTTGGCAACAATCTCATCACTTGGCAATCTCAGAAACAGAGAGTTGTGGCTTTGTCCTCCCGCGAGGCTGAATATATTGCTGCAGCTACTGGAGCCTGTCAAGCAACCTGGCTAGCGTGGCTTCTTGCAGAGCTCAAGGGCGAGAAGACCAGCGCAACCACACTGAAGATCGACAATCAGTCCGCCATTGCACTGAGCAAGAACCCGGTGTTTCACGACCGCAGCAAACACATAGATGTCAGGTACCACTACATCAGAGAGTGCGTCAAGGAGGACCGGGTGCGACTTGAGTCCATCAGGACAACAGAGCAGCTGGCGGACATGCTAACGAAGGCCCTTGGCAAGGAACGCTTCTGCTGGTTGCGCTCTAAGATCAGGGTCATTGATGTAAAGCACATGCACAATAATTAGAGGAGATTTTGTTAGTAATCTTGTGCATGTTAGATAGGACTCCATGTTTCTGTTTTCAGTTGATGCATGCGCGCGAGCGCCGAGTTGTGGCTGCCACGCGCGTAGGAGGCCGTGGCGTAAGACTCGCTCGCCCACGAGCCTGGGCATGCAGGCATGGCCGGCGTTGCGGAGCGTGGGGATGGACACGCTGAACTCCCGCGATGTGCGCGCTGTGTGATCGTGCTGCTCTACTGTACTTTTTAATAAATATGAAAGCTAAGAGCAGAAAACGTTGCCCTTCTCTAGCAGCACCAAAACCTTCCGTGTCCAAGTGTTCTCGCATCAGTTGAGTTTCATGTTTGCCGCCGCTCGTGACCTCGCCGCCGGTTTCCACCGCCGTTTGGTGACTAACAGACGGTGACGCCTCGGGCACCACAAACCTCCTTGGAGGCGTCGCTTCTAAACATCGTGCTTCTGCGCCAACATCGCCGGATTTCGGGCGAAAGCCCCGCCTTAGATGCCTCTAAGGCCAGCGATGATGGCGTCTAGGGTCGTACCCTTGGGCATCACCTCCTTCCTGAAGGCGTCGCTGAAGAATCTCCTACGGCCCGTTGCTTGTCCCATGTCCGTGGTTCCTGCCGTTGGCCACCGTTGGAGTTCCTTGCTGAGCCTGTGTGTGCCTTCATTCTACTCGCTTGGTCTGTCCTGCAGCTTTTGACCTTGCCGTCGTCGTCTGGCTACCGCTATCTTTATTTGACGGATGCTTTGCCGTCGTTGTCGTTGGTCTCCTCTCGGACAGATGCTTTGCTGTCGAGATTGTCATGGCCGCTCCTCTCTGCGAATACCTGCCGTAAGAGGGTGTCTTCTCTTCTTCCCCGACGGATGCTTGGCTGTCGGCGGAATTCTTGGCGGATGCTTTGCCGTCGTTTGTTCTTGGTCCCCTCTCTGGTAGATGCTTTTGCTGCCGAGAGTGTGTGGACCCTCTCCTTAGTGGATACTTAGCCGCCGTGGTCGCTTGGTCTTCGTTGGCGGATGCTTTGCCGCTGTTGCTGCTGGATGCTCCTATGCCTTATCAGAGTGGATGTTTTGCCACCACGGCTTTGTCTATCTTGTAGGCAACCCTTGCATTTTATTTTATTGCAGGCTCAGTTGTAGGTCTTAGGTGTTGAGGGCCATCGCTCTTCTTTCTTCTTTTTTCTTGTTCCTATGTTTATTCCAGGTCACTCATCACTATCTTGGTGGTTTGTAATCTGTGCTATGAGAGTTCTCTCATAGCTGCGTCGTGTAATTCACTCCTCTTAATGAAAAACGGGCTATATTCCCCGATCGCGAAAAAAAAAGTTTGGTGATTATACCCTAGTAACTTGCTTTTGGTGCTGCCCGGTCAATGCCTAAGGCCTAGCTGTTCTAGTAGCTAGTAGTGGGTAGTTCTGAAGCTATTGTATAACAAGCGCAAATGTAACTTTTGAAAACCTAACAGTAAGCTGTAACAAACTCTTTATTCCTTCTTAGTGCAATGATACACAGTTCTCCCACGTGTTTGAGAAAAAAAAACTTTTAGTTGAGACGTCTTATCTGTCGCTGCCTGATGTCTTCTCAGGTTTGGAATGCCACAAATGGATACTCATCTATGCTCAAATGACCATGCTAAGGGCCTACTTTTTACTTCCTTTTTTTTAATTTATGCTTCATCTTCACATATAAAAAGAAGGCACGAGACCATACCAGAGAATCACTAAATTTCTCCTAAAATCTTTATAGCTCATAAGTGATGTTTACTTGTGCAGTTATAGCTGTAAACTTTCAAATAGCTGAAAAAGCTTACAAAAGCTGGACTTGCTGACTTTTGCTCCTCAAGGATCTAATATTCGCTTCTCTGGTTGGTGGTGCAGCACCATCAAAGGCGTTCCAAGGGGTTCGCGCAAAGGCCTCAATAGTCTGATCATCCTAGTTGCTTGGGAATTATGGAAACACCAAAATGCTTGTGTTTTTGAAGGTGCTAGGCCTAGCATAGAGGTGCTGCTTCAATATGTGGCCAATGAGTTTATGGAGTATGGCAGTTGGCAGGAGCCTAGGCATTACATGACTTCCTTGCTAGGTCGTTGGTTCTGGATCACTAGGTCCTTAGTTGTTTGAGGCTGCTGGTCGTGTTTTCCTAGTTTATTTTCTGGAGTGCTGAATTAACTAAACCCCGTGGGGGTGCCTGGAGGGGTTACTTACTTCCCTCCCTTATGTATCGTAGCTAAAAAGCAGAAGGAAAATAGATCATGGCCCACCAGATGTAATTCTTCATGATTTATGCAGGAGAGTTTCTCACGGGACAAGCCAACGAAGTCTTGACAACTCAACGCCATAGCCACAGATGAATAGCTGTAAACTCTGTCAGCTTCATGCCAAGAAGATGCTTACAAGAACTGTAACCCATCCATGCAGAAACATGTTGAGAAAAATATGACAAGAGGCAAAGTACAAGAGCAGCACTAAATAATTTTCTTAATTGCATCAACAAGAAAAGCTCATAATCAGCACAACAAGAAATCGCAGTCTCTTTCTTAAGCACCAGACAACAACCAATACTCTCCATGTCTTTAAAGCAAGTTCATTTCATGGGTTTTAACCTTCTTCACCATCCACTAGGGCTAAGAGAGATTGAAGAAAGCTAAGCAGGTGCTTCATCAGGTAATTTTCTGCCATTCATCAACTAAGCAGAAGTGTTATTTATAATTGCATCTTTTTCGAGTACAGTCTGTTTGAACTTTGTGTTCCTATGCAACTTCGAATTTCATCTCCTAAATTTTGACGCATCAACATTTTTCTCAACAGGAGATACTCTTCCAGAGTTCCAAGCTTATAATAGCCAATGTATGACTTTACAAGACAAGTAAGCACTACATCTATACACAACATTATGCGGATAAAACAAGATCGCTAGAACTTTTAGAAGAATTATTCTACGTTTCATGCAATAGATAAAGTTGTGCTTCTGATGCTTAGTTGGTCTTGCAAACAACATGTAGCTGCCAGTGAACTTTGGGATTACTTCTGGGGGTGTTGCTCAAAAGGAATTCAATGATTGATAACCAAATGCATATTTTTTAATCAACTTCCTAAGGGGCACAAATAAAAAAAATCACCCAACTTAGGAGGAACTTATGTGGCATTGTAAATAAGAACTTACGTGGCACTGTAAATTAGAAGTAGGGACATAAATTTGAGTCGAACAGGACTAAAGCTGTGAGGCACAAAGTTTCAAGCTAGCTAATGAGTGAGCAGGACTTTCACTGTTCTGTTGACGGAAGAACTAGCAGCATGCTGACCACTTTTATCCTTTTTTCGCTGTAGTTACTAAACAGGACATCTCAGTTGTGAAGGTACTTTTTTGGCAATTATATTTTGGAAGGCAAATCCCTCTACGCATGGCCAAGAAACAAAAGTGAAAGGTGGGATCTATCTTTTGTAGATCATACACTTTTCAAGAAAAGCTAGGTCTAGTGGAGCTCTAACACAATGGGAAGTCCTGAGTATTGTGAGATAAACTCAAATATGACTCTCGACTACATAAACCGACTGTTAATGGAAGAGGACACTGATGAGAAGGCCAGCATATACCAACAATTTGATGCACTTCTGGCCATGGAGAAGCCATTTTATGATATTCTTGGACAGACATATCCATCTTCACCTAAGGAGACAATGATCAGTAGAGATACCCAAGTAGATTGTCCCCAAGACAATTACAGTAAACAGGCATGCAGTGGTAGTTTTGTCAGTGATATTCTCGGGCCACAAGGTATGCACCTGGTAGCCAATGATTGGACTTCTGAATGTGACCGTTTGTCTTTGCAAATTGAGAGAGGTGCTGAGGAAGCAAATAAGTTAGTTCCCAGTATTGTGAAATTGGTTTATCTGGATAGTAATGGCCTTTCTGATTCCAATCAAATGATAGAGGCAACAATTGGACAAAAGAACAAGCATGTAGGCAAAATACGAAGCCATCCTCATGTGGACTTGGAGTTTTTGGAAGCAAGGAACAGTAAGCATTTGGCCATCTCGGCCAGTGAAACAACCCGGGATGAAATGTTCGACAGTGTTCTGCTCTGTGATTGGTAGTTTAATTGTGATGCTGCTCATCTTAGAGAAATCAAGGCAAAACAAGCAAACAACAGTTCACATAATGTTCGGAGAAAAGGATATGGTCAAGGGCAAGTGAAGTCACGAGTTAAGAAAAAAGAGGAGGGGATTGACCTCAGGGCTCATCTCATGCAGTGTGCACAAGCAATAGTAGTAAACAACCTTGCATTTGCTAGTGAGCTACTGGAGAAGATAAGGTGTCACGCTTCACCATATGGAGATGGCTCTCAGAGGCTGGCACTTTACTTTGCAGATGGTCTTGAGGCACGCTTGGCCGGGACAGGGAGTCATGTGTATCAGAAACTGATGGAGAAACGAACAAGGGCCAAAGACATGTTAAAGGCCTGCCACCTTTTCATTGCAGTGTGCCCTTTCTCTAGGGTAGCATACTACTTCTCCAACCAAACAATAGCTGACCTATCGAACGGACGACCAAAGGTGCATATCATTGATTTTGGCATCACACTCGGCTTTCAGTGGCCATCACTAATCCAGCGCTTTGCAAAACGAGAAGGTGGGCCCCCTAAGCTTCGTATCACAGGCATAGATGCACCTCAGCCAGGTTTTCGCCCCTGTGCAATAATTGAGGCGACAGGAAAACAGTTGGCTGAGTATGCAGAAATGTTCAATGTACCTTTTGAGTACCAAGGTATCGTCTCACAATGGGAAGATATCTGCATGGAGAATCTCAATATTGACAAAGATGAGGTGCTTATAGTCAACTGCATGTACCGAACAAAACATCTTGGTGATGAGACAGAAGACATAGATAGTGCAAGGGATAGGGTACTGCGTACCATGAAGAGGATCAACCCAGAGGTTCTCATTCTTGGCATTCTGAATGGGCTCTACAGCTCCCCATTCTTCCTGCCACGATTCAGAAGGTTTTGTTCCATTATTCTGCGCTGTTTGACATGCTCGATGCAACTGCTCTCCAGAGTCATGAAGATAGGATACAGATAGAGAGGGATCTGCTTGGGCCAGAAGTACTTAATGTTGTAGCGTGTGAGGGTGCAGAAAGGATCGAGAGGCCAGAGACTTACAAACAGTGGCAAGTGAGATGTCTCAAGGCTGGGTTCAAGCAACTTCCTGTTGATAAAGCAATCCTGAAGAGATCAATAGATGAAAAAAACAAGCATTATCATGAAGACTTTGTCATCGACGAAGATAGCAGATGGCTGCTACAAGGATGGAAGGGGAGGATAATGCATGCGGTATCCTCGTGGAAACCGAAAGAATCATACACTAATTAGTAAGATCCAAGTAGATATTTTGTGAGCAAGCCAGCTAAATTTGTAATGATGGTGTGAGGACCTTTAGACAATCTTCAGCAGAATGCTTTAAGTTTCGCAAATTACTTCTCATGTTTGTGGATATTAGAGACAATCTTGGATAAAGACACACTGAATTTTTGGCTTTTACATATCCTCTAGTCTAGACTCTCATTTGAACAGCTGTACGTGCCACATTAAACAAGGCAAAAATGAGTTTTGGGAAAGAGGTGATGGGTAATATTGGAATGAATAGATATAGCAAGTATGAGCACCCTGGTCTATTGATTCAGGTTCTCCCCACACCTTCCCTATCTACCCTCTGATTGCAACTGGTGTCCCTAAGTCTAAGTGGCTACTCCGGCTATTGACAAGATTTGTCGAGCTTTTCTTTGGAAAGGGAGATCAATGGAGGTGTCCATCTTGTTGCCTGGGAAAAAAGTATGTATGCCAAGCGAGCTCGGAGGGTGGGGTATACGTAATCTTGTAATCTTCTATGGGGTCTATGGATGTGCTGGTTGTGGCTCCAAAAAATGTAACCTGATCAACCTTGGGCGGGACTGCAGTTACCCATTCATGTCAACACTTCAGCATTGTTTGCTTCTCAATTACTGCTTGGATAATGGTTGTAACACGCTGTTTTGGTCCTTTTGGACTGATTACTGGCTTCATGGTCACTCCCTCATAGAGCTAGCGCCTGCCTTGGTTGCATTCTGAGGAGAGTATTCAATCAGAGAGCTGCTGTCCAAGCCCTAGAAGACCAAAGACTTGGAATCTTAACACAAAGAAACGCAACCCTATTGTGTGTTCAAGAAAAAGAAAGCATGTGTGCTGACTTATCTTTTGAACATTATGGATAACTTGGCAATCTTATTTGATACGAAAATTCATTAGCATTATGTGCAGAATCCACTGTCTAGACAGGAAATGAAGCCAAAAATAGCTAAAGAGAGAGTGAGAGATTAAATACAACATGGGACAACGGTAATATTTTATGAACTTAATAAACAGGAAACTAACCTGACTCAATACAGATTTCATAGCGCTTTATAAAAGAATGCCCTCAATTTCTTGGCAATGACAATCTTATCTTTTTAGAAGCGACTATTAACTTGTGCAAAAAGTGCCCTAAAGTCTGTAGTTGGCGTCCCTTCACCTTCTGGTTTTGATGCCAGATCAAATGCCTTAAACTTTGCCTCTTCGAATAGCAAGGCCTGCATAGGAAAGTCACATATCAATCAAACGCTAGAGTTAGCACTTATCACAAGAGCTTGAGAAAAGCATGGATCTACAGTTGTGTCTTCCACTGTACGAAGCTACCTGTATGAAAACTTCTGCAACATTGGACCTGGCAATAGTTCTTGTTTCTGTTTTCAAGATCTCATCATCCTTCCCAACAATCAACTCTCGCAAGCCACCATCTTTATCTTGTAAACCGCCAGCTCTGCAAGGAAAAGAAAAACGAACAGTATATTACCAACATAAGCATTCACAGTTATAGCTTTAGCAACTCTCCTTGTGTTACAACCTTATAATTGTATATGGAAGACCAGAGTCCACTAGGTACTGTTCTGCCGCTTCCACACCTGAAAATTTAGAAGAAAATTACTAGGAAGTTGCCAAACAATACAGGCAAGCAGATGATGTTCTCATGCACACAACACATGCGCATGGACAGACAAACATAGAATAGAACAAGTTGGAAGAAAAGCTAAATATGCTATGTACCAGTATATTCACATTTCCTAATTTGTTTAGTGGGCGATTGATGTCTGTTCCTCCCATGGATCCCACCAAAACTATGTGCTTTGCACCAATGCTCTTAGCTGCGTAAACATGCAAGAAAAAAGAGCTGAGAAAAAAAAAGGTATGTTTGCCAGAAAAAAAAAAAAAAAACAGCTTCACCGAACAGTCATTTTGAAACGAACAGTAGTTTAACAGATTAGCATAAAAACACAGGTTGCGTATGAAGCTTTAATAAAAGACATATATGCAAGACAAGGGGTAACATTTACCGGCATCTATTTGATTCTTTTGGCCTATCCAATCCACCTTGAAACAGAGACAAACAACACAGAGCGTTAATTCCAAACAAATTCAGGAACTGACACAGCACTGCAATGTAAGCATTATATCAAACAATTTCAGCCACCTGCTCAGGATAACTCCCTTCTTCAAAGTAAAACTCAGGCCGGCCCCCTTTGCTGGGATCAAACCCCGGCTTCATCTTGGGGACCACGCTGGTGAGGATGATGAGCGCGTCGATTCCCTCAATCGCAGGAGCAATGCTCTCGGGGTCTCTTATGTCGCCGATGAACACGTCATCACCGCCTCCGATTTTGCCCTTGCTCTCTCCCGTCCTGACTAGGCCTCGTCCCACAAACTGGCCTGCCCTCTCCTTCAACTTCTTGTACACAATTTGGCCTGGGTTACCACAGATGGGAAAAATTGGATTTTTGCAATCGGAGAGATGAATCAGCAACAATGTGAACCGCTCTAGGCTCTATCAACGGCCAAAAGCCGAGAGCTTTGCCTACGGATGAGAAATGCCAAATGAGCGGAACTTCAGGAAACCTACCTGTTCGGCCGCCGGCGCCGGTGACGAGCACGGTGCGCGGCGACCCACCGCCGGCCGCGGCCAGCCCGGCCCTCCTGGGTCCCCGCCTCGCTGAGATAACCTGGCAGGGATGCCGTAGAGGTGCGCCGGTGAACGGAGAAGCCAACAGCACACACGCCGCCGCCGTGGCCATGGTTCTCCGCCGTGGCCATGGTCTCCTTATCGCTTTCGTGCCGCAGGTTGCAACGGATGATGGCCGTTTGAGGCTTGTTGGGCCGCATGTGTGAGTGGGCCAAACCCACTTCGAATTGAGCCTGTTTTGTCAGGATCAGGGGGGAGTGTGCTTCGTTGCTGGAAATAGCCCAAAGATTGGTTTTGAGAGGATCTTGTCCTTTAAAAATATGCTCGGACGCTGCTTCCTAGGGCTGCGGACCGGCTCAAAATTTTCGGCAACCTGCTCATTTGTACCAAATCAATCGGACCCTTCAACGGCTTCTTAAAAAAACTAGACCATGCGATATTTCTCCACTCCACCTCGCGGCGTTCTCCACCACCACACCCACACTGCTTGCTCGCAGCGGCAGCCTCCACCGAGTCGGCGAGCCTCTCGCTGCCGTCGGGGTCTGGCCACTCGCGCGGTGCCGCTAGCTGGCCGGGCCAATCCAGAAGCAACCGCACGGACGCCCGGACGTCGCATGTCGCTAGGCGACAAGGAGAAGGGGTCATCGTTGGCCGGGCCCGGGCCAGGCGAAGCTGGCCGCTGCCAGGTCATGCCACCATCCTCGGTCACCGGCTGGCTGGAATGCGAAATAAGGGTGAAAACGCATGTTGCAAGCGTATGTTTCAAGTGTTGCAAATGTTTTAAAACACAAGTGTTTCAGTTGAATGTTGTAAAAGTAGGTCGGGATGTTGCATATGCTGCAATGATTGTACACATATGTTTCAATTGTCTGTTCCCAATGTCTCATCTGTGTTTTCAGACGTATGTTGTAAGTATGTTTATCTAGATGCACACATATGTTGCAAGTATTTTATCACTACTACACTCGCACCTTTCACAGCCGCGTCATAACCCACGTCGCAGTCTAATTTCGGCCTCGGCAGTAAGCTGTCGGCAGTGATACTCATAGCCCTCACCGTCGATATCTAGGTCCGACTGGGGTGTACACTACACCGCCGTATTGGTTTATCATCCGTCCGTGATAAAGTCCTTACTTCCGTCGCATTGGAGCACGACCCGCGTGTGTGGGTATGCACTAACACCGCCGTATGGCTTATGATTCGTCCGTGATCAGATCCTTATTCCATCGCATTGAAGTATGACCACCTGTGTAGAGGCGAACATCACCGTCGCTTTAGCGTATGAACCGTCTGGTCATAGGGTATGGTCACCGTCGCGTCGCAGTACGATCCGCCCGTGATGATCCTTTAGTCGGTGTCGGGTTACTAAACGATTCGGTGGTGATGCACTATTGACCCCTGCTGCATCAGACAAATAGCGGTGGTGATGGCCGTCTGCTTCACCAAAGGCGAGTGGTACGGCGGTGATGACAAAACAACCAACAGCCCACAACGAAGAGTACTTGTTATAATCATTACACATCATTCATCATGTCCCCAACGAATAGTACTTGTTATAATAACAATGCTCGACACTAACATAATAACTGTGTCAATTGATGAATTAACACAAGTGGTACATAGATAGCATAATAAAGGTTCTGCTCCCTACAGACTTATGTAACTAAATCGAGGTAGATATGCTCCGTTCCTTTAGATTGGCACTCTTTGATCAGCATGGAACCCCTCTTCTTCCTCCCATAGCCATTGCAGAAAAATCATTCAAAAGCACAGAGGCTTCAAAACATACACAATGCAAAGCAGTAGGATTAATAATATTCAACATATCATTGGTTTATTTAGCTTAGCAAGCCAAAATTGGACTAAATATAGACTCAAAACAACTCCCTACCTGAACAAAGACATATCCATACAACAAAATACAATATATGCACCTTTACTACTCTGCTAATGACTCCATGAATAAGGAAGCATAAGACCGATAGTGAGGTCCGTTCAAATAAATACTCCAGATACTTTTAGGATAGCGGACGACCCAGGTAGGGAGGACATGGACTTTTCTGTGGCTCATGTCATATGCCATCAGTGTTCTGTACTCCCAATAAGAAAAATCAAATTCCATTCTAGGTGAACTGCAATCACTCTGTTGTCCGCATTGGTAGCCTCGGAACCGAGTAAGTGTTTGAGAAGCATATTTCAAATGTTTCATCTATTTTTAGACGTATGTTGCAAGTGTTGCATCTGGATATTTTAAAAGTAGATCAGGTGTTGCACATGAGATGCGCGTGTGAAACATGAGGGGCCGCGAGTAGTCTCCCCGCACAGTCTGACAGCACGGGCCCTGCATGGGCGCGCGAAACGTATGCGCGAGCGGAGGCGTGCTAGCGCAGGCGCAGGCGTGGAGTGCAGGCGTGCGTGCAGAAACAGAGTGCAGCGCGGAAGTCCAAACGCGGGCGTCCGTCCGAACGTCCGCGCGATAGCACTACCATTAAAATATCACCTATTATTATTCAGGGCCTATCATCAATTAAACACATCCGATCCTAAAAAAAGGAAGATCAATGAAACACATCAGATCCCCAAAAGAAAAAAAAAATCAATGAAACACATCCAAGTTTTTTTTATAGAAGAGAATTAATGTAGAGCTTAGAGTTACACCTTAATAAATGTGTGTGTTGGTATGAAGATTTTTAAGTTTTGGAAAATGGTGGTTCAAAAATGAAGGTTTTAAAGAAACAGTGATCAAAGCCTAGAACAGTTCTTGTCAAGGTGAGAGTAGTATGGGTATTTGGCCAATATAAGGTAGGAATTCTAAGAAGATCAATTAGAGGTCTGGCGATCAGTATAGTTGTAGTGTTAAATAGATAGAAAGTCGGTTTTGCCGAGGAATATTAGCCAAGATCTCATCTATGAATCTTGAGAGTTAACTACGGATGAAACGGCTAGAATGAAACAGATTGCTAAAGAACTTGGTAAGATTTGGGCATTGGAGGAGGAAATTAAAGGTAGACAAAGATCAAGGTATAAATGTTTTTGAGGGGGTAGAAACACGGCATGTTTTCAGTTTGTAGCAAATTAAAGAAATAAAAAGAAAAAAGTTGAAGTTCTAGAGGGTCTCAAATTCTAGTGGAAGACCACAGGTATAATAAATATAAGAGAATTTGGTGTTTCTACCCTTATTCCAAGCCTTAATGGTAATTTTATCTCTTCTTTTTTAACTTTGTGTTTTTACCCTCGTTATTTTTACGTGAAGCCTCCGTCTACCCCTGCTTTGTAAACACCATTGGTAATGGTCGGATTAAATAGCAAAAAAAAATAGAAAAAAAAGATAGGTGGCCGAAAAGACAGAAATGCCCCTAGGGCCTTTTCCTACTCGGCAAAGTCGCATGACACGGTCTTGGTTCGCAAGTCGTGGTTGCTGGCTTAGGGTTCGAGCGGCGCGGCTCCTGGCGGTGGCCCGGCTCCCGGCGGCGCGCCTCCTTCTCCCCGTCGCCCTCCCCATCTCCCCGCCCTCCTCATTCCTCGGCTCGCGGCGAAGACCGGCGGCGGCGCTAGGGGGGAGGGGTGCGGGAGCCTCTGTGGGCGCTAGGGAGGCACGCGGCCACACCCCGGCGACGAGCAGGAGGCCGCGTGTCCAGCCCCCGGCGGCGCGCGGGAGGCACGCAGCGAGCCCCCTGCGGCTCGCGGGAGGGCGTGGCCACCCCCGGCGACCAGCGGGAGGGCGCACAGCCACCCCCGGTGGCACACGGGCGGCGCATGGCGAGCCCCCTGCGGCGCACGGCTAGCCCCGGCACGGCGCCGCCGGCTTCTGTGGCTTTGCGCGATAGTCAGTCATTCCGGTCCTGTATCTGTTTGGCAAAATGTTGGTTTTGTATCTGTCTTTTCAGATGAAACTGAATATGCATTTTCATGATTCATTTTCATCACTAAACAGATTTGAAGAGTTTATCGACCGGAGACGTTCACTTGTAATGCAAAAAAATGTTCGTGTAGGTTGACAAAACAGCCACTAGTTGTATTGCACTTCGTTGTAATCTTCAGTAGTCAGTTTATGCCTGGCATGTGTATCCAGCGGAGATTTCTAGAAACCTATACTGCTTAAATCTTCGGCTGGGCGCGCGGCGTCCCCGACCCGGTGTCCCCGCATAGCAATGTACTTGAGCTTCTGCAATATCTGGACTTGTTGGAGTTAATCAGAAACGGATCTCCAAGGAACAAGGAAAATGCTGCTGGTGTTGCCAGTTATGGTGCATCTATGCAATGGCAAGCAGCAGCAGCAGCATCTTGCTGAAGCACAGAGGAGGCCAGGCATCGTTGAGCGCATGCAGATATGCGAATTGTGTGATATAATAATTTGTGTTTGTATGAATTTTGGCATAAATGCTATCAAATTTTTGCACATATTTATAATAATAAAAGGAACACAAGAATTATGTGTAATTTTGTTACCAATATCTCTAGCAAATCTATCAAAACTTTGGTCATGAAATAGGGGTAAAATCACAAAAAATCTCTAACAAAACAGAGGTAAAATTGCATGGGCAAACTTGTCTTTTGTCTAAAAGTTAACATCGTTAACATGACTTCACGGAATAGGGGCATACTCTTCCTTCGTTTTGAAAACACAAGGGTAAAATTACAAAGTTAAAAAAAACAAGGGTAAAATCACTATTTCGCTATAAAACAGGGGTAGAAATGCTTAAGCCTCTAAATATAAAGGTGAACTTTTACAAGAACTTCTTTGCTTTCTAGGAACTAGGATAGAGGTAGTGCTAGGCTAGATACTAGTTTCTGGACTAAATCGAGAAGGTTACTAGAGAGGAAAAGAATGATGAATTGTTGTGCTAAAGGGGCTCCAGGTCTAGATGGACTATCTTTTCATTTTACTATCCTTATAAGAAACTATCAAAAGTGATCTAATCAACCCATTTAGTGATTTTAGTGAAGGGAAATCAGATCTTTTCATGACAATTTTTGCCATGTCAACCTTAATTTCCAACAAAGCTAAAGCTAGGAATATGTTAACTAATAGGCTCGGGAAGTTAGCTCGGCCTTAGAGGTTGCTTTCTTCTCAACAAAGTGCTTTCATCAAGGGCAGATTTGTCCCGGAAGTGCAACACCAGCACATGGGATTGTTTATAGTGTTCACAAATTGAAAATCTAAAAATTGTTTTGAAATTAGATTACAGAAAAGCATATGACATAGTTAGTTGAGATTTTCTTGTTGACATCCTAGAATCTAAATCTAAATGGAGAAGAAAGTAAGTTCTTCAAATTTGGTAAAGGTCTTATACAGGGGACCCTATCTCTCCTATTCTTTTCAACTTTGTTGGTGATGTCTTGACTAGAATGTCAATGAAGGTAGCTAGAGCTAAGTTAGTATAAGGTCTTATGTTTGATTTTAGACATGATGGTGTTATCTCCCCAAAATATGTAGATGATACCAATTTTTTTTGGTTGTTGATGATAAGGATCACTTGAAGAATCTAAAAAAGGTATCATGGTATGGGTTTAACAAATTTCTGACATAAGGATCAACTTCCACAAAAGTGAGATTGTTCTTCCAAATGTACATATATAGGGAGAGTAGATGTTTGTTCCCCATAGCTGGCTTGATAGAATGTGAAGAAAGAGATTGAGGGAGAGACCAAAAGATGGAGTTGCAAAGGTGCACACGTGGAGGGGAATGGACCTGCAATGAATAGTTTTAAAACTTCATGAACCTAGAAATCTACTTTTGGAGTTGATGAATCTAACTGAAACCATGTATAAGTAAATTGACCCCAGTGCATCTAACTCGATTATTTTTGGCCAATAGAAAGCATGATGCAATTGGGGGGAGGGGGTTAAGGAGGTGCCTCTCTCAACAACTTACGTCACCCAGTTGAATATCCTTCACGCGTTATAGATTTCGTGACTATACCATATGCGTTACTATACTAAAGCGGCGCAGGCTATAGCCTATAGCTGTGAAAGGCGGTTGCTTATCGATATGGTGATGGATGCTGGAGGCGGCTAGAGATACACCATGTAGCGTACGCATGCATCATGCCTATTATGCCTGCTCTAGTGCAATGGTAAGTCCATCCATACCAACTTACCTGTCATCATTGCGCGGGAACTACCATAGTGCCTGCACATTTGCGGCGGGGGACTCGAGCGGCGACGACCGAGATGACGAGAGAAGCATGAGGGGCGCATGCGCCCCTCGCATCCTTCTTCTGTGTTTGGTTCGAGGGACGATCCTTCTCACGCGCGCCACGGACCGATGACGACATCGGCGCCCTGGAATTCCTTGGTTTGGAATCTATAGCAGACATGGACCCCTACTTTCTCAACAGAATGCGCGCTAGGGTGCCCGGTGTTGCTGCGCTGTGGGTTTGTCTCCAGGCTCAGTTGTTGGGGGGTTCAGTTACTGGTGGCTACTATAAAAGGCCACGCCCTCGGGCACAAGTGACACTGCCCGGTGGGTCCCCCAGTCTCCTTCCTTCCTCTCCTCACTGAATTCGATGGAGGAAGGCCGCGAGGGGAGCGAGAAGCAGGTGGAGGCGGCGAAGAAGCTGGCGAGGAGCGGCAGCAAGAACGCCGGGGCGAGGAGCCGGCCGACGCCCGTGCGCGGGCGCGGGCACGGCAGGAGGTGGTCTTCGTCGACGGACCTGGACTACATCGAGACGGCGCCAGCGGTGATGCCCACGCCCACGGCGGGCGGTGCCGCCGCCGGAGCCGTGGTGCTCGGCAGGAGCTACTCCACCACCGCCGCGATTGCGGTCGCCGTCGACGGCGGCATGAAGCAGCAGGAGCGGCAGCAGGCAGCGCCGGAGGGCGAGGGGGAGGGGGAGCAGTGTCCGAGGAGGCGCTGTGGCGCCGGCGCGCGCCTGTCCCGGAAGATCAAGGAGCACCGGGCGCGGTTCTACATCATCCGCCGCTGCGTCGCCATGCTCGTCTGCTGGCGCGACGCCGACGACTAGCTAGCTTGCTTTGCTCCGCCGGACGTCGCATCGATATGAATATGATCCACCACCAGCAGCAGCAGCAGCCGCCGGCATTCGCATGCATGTCGTCTTTGACTGTGACTGACTGTGAAAGTGAATCATTGTTCATGTACCTCCGTTGCTTGTCTCTTGTTATTCATCTAAGTTTGCGATAGAGACAAGGCTCAGTTCATTAATTATTCTCGCGAATTGATCCATCGATCCTGATGAATGTGGTGCCTGCTGGTGATATATGATGCATGAAATGAAACATGCAGCACATATGCATGGTTTGTCACTGTTTTCACTCATCAGAATTTAATCATAAACAACACTAAACTGGCTTAGATTCTTTTCGATAGAATTAAATAAAAGATCAGAAAATTTGGAGTAAAGCGAGGAGAGGGGTCGTGTTGTTGAAGATCAATCCCTAACGGTAACACTATTGAATCAGCCGAATCCAGCCCAGCCGAACAGGCCCAACAGATCCGGCGGAAAGAAATGGAAACTGCAATGCCTTTCTCCTGGGTTTCATACGTGGTTGTTTGCACTGGACTAGACAAAAATGCATGCATGCATTGAACTGTGCTGGAATGGAAAGTCGCTGGCCGGCTGACTGGCAGCAACTGAACGACAGAACGAGAGTAACCGCATGCAGGTGAGTGAGTTGTGCACTCATGCGTTTCATTTTACTGTTTTACAGGTAAGCCGCGACATTTAATTTTTGCGTGACGTTGTGATCAAATGTGTCGTGTGAACTATGTAGCCATTTGAAGTTTGTATATAAAAATTGAACTATGTGACGAAGAAAATAATATAGGATGTTTTCCTATATTTTGTTTAGGAAAACAATCGAGCTTATGCATATAGCCAGCCATGGAGTCTAGATCAAACATAAATAGTATCCTTGTTCCAAACTGCGATGTTGCGATTAATGAATGTACATGTTACACCGGCATACTACGGTGTAGGATTCGATTATTAATTAAGGGGAAAGATGAAAGGCGATACCAGCGTATGTACTTGGTGGAGAAGAGACCGTCAACGGCGGCCAAGGCGAGCCCGGTATTGGGCTCTATCTCACGGAGCTCCACGGCGGCGTTGACCCTCACTCTGGACGTTACGGTGCAGGCGAACTCCACCCACAAGATACACACCTTGGCCATGGCCCCCAAGTTCCTCCTCTCGCCATCCCTTCTCATGCTGCTATCGTTGACCTGGCCTGCCCGTCTCGCCGCTAGTGATTGGGGTGCCTCACTTCCCCTTCTTCTTAAAACGGCTCTGCCACCAGCAACACGACATCGATGTCCGCCCCATCGCACATTAGTTTGGGCCCACCATTATCATGGACTAGACGGGCATGGAAAGAGGAATGGAATAGCCTTGGGATAGCATGAGTAGGCACGAAAGAGGCTAGGTTAAGCGAGAGGCGTCGGCAACTAGGAGGGGCGCGCCTATGCAAGAGATCCCCAAGAGCGTGTGAAAATGAAACATATTGGTCTTAGTGGGGATTTCTTCGTGTTTTATTGAGTTGGTAACGGTGACAAACACGTTTCATTCTGACGAAACTCGGTTGCTCTCTTTCCTCATATATATCTGGTCAACAAATTTGTTGATGTGTCATAGCTTTAAATGAGAATGAAACTATAATGAATCTCCACTGAGACTGATCAAACTACATGGTGTATGCATGCTAGCTATCACCAGTGGGCCAGGGGACACGGACCAAGATTCAAGGGGGTGATTTCCATGTGTGCTTTCTCTCCACCTTGTCTCGTTCTATTTTGTTCTTGTTTCCTCCCTCTCGACCCTGACCTTCTCCATCGGTAATTAAGTAGGTTGTATCGGTGCTTGAGCCCTCTATTGCCCTAGTTGATCCAACCCTGGCTATCATCCAAAGGCGACACAACCATGCGAAGCGGTGCTGGCTAGATGAGACGCTAGACGATGCAACAAGGTGAGCGACATTGAAGACAAGGGGCGATTTTGTGGCAGAACCGCCTAATCTAATGCCCTTCCAAGGGTACTCGTCTTCCATTAAACACTAAGTACCCAAGAGAGAGCACTAAACTATGCAGTTCTGTTGAGCACACCACAAGGGAGAACTCGAAAATCCACATTTTTTCCATCTGGATCATAAATGAGATGATAAAGCTTACAACATTTTGTTATTTCTTACATCACTTAATACAACAGCAGAATATTATCTCAATTGATTATAACAGCGAAATTTAACAAAGTTATCAGAGTTTTCAGCGGAAAGCAAAATTTATGTAATCACAATTTCAAACACTAACATGAGGAGCATCTATATACATGGAATGATAACATATTGTAAGTCTTTTCTTTGTAAAACATTTCTAGTGAAAGTTATAAATAGCTCTATGTCCGCATCATAAGGAAATCCTCGCTGAACCCACCATGAGGTTTTCCACACACAAGTGTCAGCCCTAGCATTCACCTGTCACCTGCAACAGCGGGAATAAAATCCTGAGTACTCGATTATACTCAGCAAGACTTACCCGACAGGAGAAAAATAAAAGACTCCAAGGATATGCAATGCTATTTGGCTTGTGGGTTATTGTAACGTGCATCCTTATATTTAAACTTTTATTAGCAGTCATCATTAGTTCTTAACTAATCATTTTATGTAAGCACATATGCTACTTTCAAGCAGGTAGTAAGCAATCAGAGTCATTTTACCATCTTTCATGTTCTAGTTCTTACTACGGTGCTAGATCATAGCCAAGTCGTACCGTCACGTAGAAACGGTGATTCGCGAATCAATGTAGCCTATGGGGTACCCCGAAACACACGCCTCGTTTGTACCCCAGGCACAAATAAGATCAACCCGTTCCACTCTTGTCAAGGGGTAACTTGGACTCTAAGCCCCCACACCTGAGTCCCAGACTCAGTGCGGTGCTTAGACCTCCACCTTCCCTGCCTCCGATCAGTCGGTCCGGAAAGAACCGGAACTCACGACAAGAGAGCAACGAGTCTTCCCGCTCACATAAGCAAGTATGAGCTTAAGATAATAAGTCTGTGGCCTGAATACCATCCACAGCAATGGATGGTCCTCAATCGACACAGACGAAACAACTGCAATAGAGCCTCGCTCGGTTGCCTAACCAAGTCCAAATCCAAAGTATGGTCCCGCCCAGTCTCCAATTATTATCCATATATATTTCATATAATAGTAACATGATAATAGTAACAACAATATATTTCCTATCTCTCGCGAGTGACAGGCAATCACTCGACTTTTGCCGGAGTTCTATAGCATAACATTCTACACGATCCTGTCATACTAGTAAGACTCATAGGATAAGGATATATATATGCAAGTGGATTTCATTCAACTCCTTTAAACTTAATGCACAAGCATAAAATAAAGTGTAGAATAATAGAGGTTATGCACCAGGGCTTACCTAGATAAGATATAATCACAAGTTAGCATTCCCTCATGGCGACACAATCTCCAAGACACCATCTTCTCCACTACTCAGATCGACTCCGCGATCCGTCGTAGTTCCTATCATGATATTCGCGGATGCAACGCAGAGACGTAAATAATTAACGGCAACCGCAACTCTAAAATACGATTATGCCTCAGAAGCTAACAAGCTAACTCTACGACTAACGTACTAGGCTACGTGTCTACGTTATCGATTAAAACGTTCTTTCCCAACAAACCCAAGGTTTTGCTTTATTCCTTTTATTGATTTAATATATATTCGAACTAGGGCTGTTTAACTATCCTAGCGAACCAATTAATCTAAGGCTCCAAAAATTACAGGGAGCACCTAATGATACTACAAATTTACTGTAAAGATTTCAGGGTCAAAACTATCCCCAATTTACCACAATAACTCCTATAAGTTTGTGTTTTAACAATATTAAGTGTTTCAAATTAATTAGATTACTCTTGAAAATTCTATGAAGCTAGGTGAACAAAATATACTAGCAGATAGATCATGATTTTAGGAACTTAACAAAATTAGTTTCACAATTTTTAGACATCTACACAAATATATATTGAATTTACAAATTTACCTTAGAAACTAAATTAGAAAACGCTTTAGAAAAAGAAAATGGCTAGTGGCCAACGATTCGGCCCAGCAGCCTAAGCGGCTCGCGCAGGAGCGGCCGCGGGCATAGCAGGCCGGCCCAGCAAGCGGCCCATGGCTGGAAGCCCGCGCGCGCACCTGCACTTTTGCATAAAAACCCTCAGCCCCATATATTATCACGCGGCATCACTGAGCACTATTACGCCAGAGACGAGCTTTGCACTAAGGATCCCGATGTTTCCGCCTTCACCACGGGAAGGTCCCTGCTCTTCCCTGCGTTCACCGGCATGGTGACCGGCGACATGGGTGGCTGCGCTGAGCACTCAAAGCTCGCTACGACGGGGGTAAAGAGCCGACCTCTGCCTACATCTAAGCGCGCACTCCTAGGTGGCGGTTGGGAGCTTAATGGCGCACTAACGAGGGCGAGCCCTGGCGATGGGCGGAGCCATGCCACGGCGTGATCGTTCCGGCAGCCTAATGGGCTATCGAGGCGGTGGAGGCAAGCTCTGGCCGTGCCATACCATGGAGAAGCACACGCGCGCGGGCGGACAGCTTAAGACAGGCCAACTCTGTCACCTGCTACGACACGGGCATGTGCACACGACTGGTGAACAGGAGGCTTGGTGCGACGTGCTTAACTCGGAGTGACCGGACCCGAGCCGAGCTCTCCATGGCGGCTAGCAAGGCAAGGCAGGGTAGGGAAGCATCGCATCGCTTCTGCGGTCGAGCCACCGATTCGACACGGCAACAAGGCTCCAATACATGGACTGGCGTGATAGGTAGAACGAGGGGTGGTGATGTAGACTAGGCCCGGTCTTCCGAAAGGTATGATAGCGTCGATTGGTGGAGACTCTACGTTCACGATCTAGGCTTCGAACCAAGACTGATTCGGACCCCCGCAACCGTTACACCACTGCTCCGTTGGTTATCAACTACGCGAACGCGATTGACCTCGCCGAGAAGGCTTTCCTGCAAGCGAATCGAGAACACAAGCAAGAACGAGATGAACGCAATCTAAAATTGCAAATAAATATGACGCTTATGAAAATAAGAAGGAGTTCAAGTTTTTATTCGAAAGGACTAATTGCCACAGGCGAACAAGATCAAGAACTGGGGCCCTGGTTCACAGCAAGCGGCCTTAGCGGCGACTGTTGCAGCAAAATGACGTCTGTTTCACGAGGAAATCAAGAACTAAACAAAACCCAAACCCTGAGGGGAGCGACGGCTGCTAAATATAGAGTCTTGGGCGTCACCCCCTGGACGCGCCCCCTAATGGGCCCAAACACGATACACGGTCCAACGGACCAAATTACGGTGTCGCAGCACCCTGGCAGATTCTGGGCGCTGACTTGTGACCACGATTCCCGTTGATTCCGAACAGCTTTTGATGTGAGACCATTTGGATTGGCTTTCTTATTAAATTAGCTTTCCATTTATGTGTGGATCGTCGAAAACGGAGTCCGAATGCGTCCTGGGTGACCAGTTTAAGGCAGACTGATCCTGAAGGCCGAGGCAGACTCGAACTTGAGTAGCTTTAGGCCTTCACCTCGGGGACTCGAATCGAATTAGCTTCGGACCTCCTTCTTGACTTGGACACCCTTGCTGGCCTCCTACCCCTCCATACCATGTGCCAAATATGGTCATATATATGGGTGTCATGTCCTCGTCACACCCACCCACACCCCCACCCTCAACCTCACAGTAGAGGGCTATAACACACTGGAGAAATTGAGGTTAGAGAAGCGGCTAGTATAGTGAAACAAAATAGAATAGAGGGAGAGGAGTGAACGAGGAAGAGATGACATTGAATTCCGACACCTCATCCCCTGCCTGTCCCTCCTCTTTTGGATCTTGATTGTTTCGTATCTGGATCATTGGTGTACTTGACGGGAAACGAGCACTCCTATTGCTTCCGTCATCTTTTGCACCACTATAGAATACTTCCTAGTTCCTATGGCCTTAAGTACATGACACTTTGGACAACAACATAATACTAAATGTCTAGGTTGAAATAGCTAGTTTTTCCTATTTTCATATAAATTTATGAAATGTTGTACAAACAATTAGTTCGTGATCAACAAATGACCATTGAATTATATTGTTGTGTGTCGTAGCACTTGTTATATATAGGCTGCGACTTGTGTATATGGAGTACAAAGAGTTCTTATTCACCACCACTTTTATAGAGAAAGTGATCATAAGAATTGATCACATAGAAACTAAGGCCCTGTTTGTTTGGACTTTGTGGAAGCTTTTGGACCTGAGCTTTTAAACCTTTCAAAGGCCAAAAAGCTCATAGAAGTTGGCTTATGTGAACCTGTTTGGTTTTTGGAAAGTCCAAAAATTAGTAGTATAAAAATAGCCAAAAGCTCAAACAAACAAGGCCTAGGAATCCAAAGTGCGAATGAAAACTGATAAGCAGCCTCGATTGCGGCTGGACCCTTTCATTAATAATGGTAAAATTGGTTGTGACGATGCATATATATAAAAAACATTACTAGCACACGCATACAACACCGATAACAATGTTATCACACAGCAAGGTTTCTGACAAAGCAACACGTTATATTACAGACCAAATTAACACTCATTCAGCATATACGTTCAGAACCTGTCAGAAAGCAGATTTAATTTAGAGCATATACATACCTTTGATTCTCCACATGCTCACTCAAATGAGCATGCAGAAAAGAGCAGTTTGGTCCATGCATGCACATATACATACATATATACTCCAGTCTCTCTATATGCATATGCATATATGATGCAGACAATGTGGATCCAGTGAGCTTAGTATGCATGGCTGATGGGTGTGGAACTGTGGATGGGATTATAAGATGGCTACTTGTCGATCTGTCCGAGCTTGCCGAGGCCGTTGCAGTTGGGGCAGACGATCTGGGCCTGGTCCTTCCTCGCCGCATTCGCCCGCAGCGTCGCGCCCGCCTTCCGGATGAACCCGGCGCCGTCGCACTCCGGGCACCTGCCCGGGCCGGCCGCCGGTGAACACATGTATATCATCATTACTTGCTCATGGCCACGGATTATACATACATACTGGATTGATGCATGCGTGTGCATGGAATTGAAGCTCGTAGTCGTAGATCGATGGCGGTTGCTTACGTGTCCTTGCGCGAGAAGAGTATGGGGAAGGCCGTGCCCACGAGCGCGACGGCCACCGCGCCAGCGATGAGGTACGTGTTGCCCTCCGCCGCGACGTCGCCCACCGCCGAGACCGCGACAAGCCGGCCGGCGGGCGCCCCCGTCGTCCTCTTCCTCGTCATCGACGGCGGAAACGACGACGCAGCGCCCCGTGGTGGCAGCAGCTGCGGCCCGGCGGCCGAGCAACGAGCAGTTGCTGGCGCGTTGACGATGGCAGCCATATTGTTCGTTTACTGTTGGTTGGCTACCTAGTGCTGACTGGAGCAAGAGAGATGGACGGATTTAAGGAATGGAGGTGCGTGCTGGCCGGCTAGCTGGTGAAGGATTAAGGTTGGAGGTGGTGGCGACGAGGATGAAGTGCGACCTCACAAAAGTGGATCGCGGATAAGCGAGGGAGGGGAAGGCACGTAGCACGTCGCTGCCGGCCGCCTGCCAGGTGGGCCCATGCTGCACTGATGCATGGGACCGTGAGGGACAATCTCCGATACGTCAATATCATTCATCGTGGATAACGTGGGCCACTGGGGCAGCCAGTCCTCGTCAGCATGAGCTTGCATTGTATCCGACTGTCCATGATCTCGTCTCTCTTCCAGGATCCATATCTCTTCTCACTACTGGAATTAAGTATTAACCCAACGTTTAATTCATGTGTTGTTATTGTCCGCTATGGTGCTTCCACACTAAAAGCGTCCTGTAAGAATCTATTTGGTTGGGGAGCAACGTAGGAGGGAACGAAGTGGAAGCCGTTCGAGACGAGCTTTTGTAGCTTTCTGTGTAAAGTTAGTTTTTTTTTTGTGTGTGTGGGCTTTCTAGCTTTGAAAAAATGGCCCGGGAAGCTGCCTGTTTTCTTTTGACTTTGAACTTTTAGGGACCAAAAGCTCTTAGGAAACCCAAATGAATAGGCCCTACAAACATAATGGTTCTTCCCATGTGTTTGGTTGGGTGGATGGAATGGTTTATCTTATTGTTTAGTTGGAGGGACGTGAGTGATACTCTGCTAAGCGACCTTTATGGATCATCCCCTATATATGTCAGTGAAATCTCATCCCTTATCTTCTTCCCTATATCCTTCAGTTGCAACACAACTGCCGCCTCCGCTCGCCCCTAGCCTGTCCACCTCCGCTCGCCCCTAACCTTACCGTCGTCTCCACCCGTGACACTTGGTCACTAGGCGATGCCCGCAACAATCGGCTCTGCTGCCTTCATCCCCACTTTGATGTCCTAGATATAGGTGTTTTTCTTTAAACTTAGTCAAAACATGAGGAGTTTGACTTACGATAAAATCATACTAAACTGTAATTTGGAACAGATATACACACTTTTTTATTTAAAGCAGATGAACTAGTAATTTAGAACTCTTAATTATGCTATCTACATTCTTAGTTCCCATGGACAAGACTAAAACAACAAGTGTTGTGAAATATATGAATAAGTATTATTATATATATAAACTAATTCATGAATAATTAGAGACACTCCCGGTAATGATAGAAAATACAGTAGAATTATGTACTAGCATAAACCAAGCCAATAACGACTTTGAATTGAATATGTTTATTTGCGTTGGTGGCTGCACGTGGGGAACCACGAGACGCAGCGTGAAGGAGAGAGCAGTTGGACCACCTCAAGACTGAAGAATCGAATCGAATTGAACTGAGTTGATTCCTCCACTAACATAATGCACCATTATAGTATTATTGTTACCGAATCCAAGATATTAGCGAGAGCACGTCGTGTTTAGCGGGCCGTCAGCCGTGGATGCTAAACACGCCACAGCTTCTTGAAGGCTGCACCACCTCCGACCTCCGGTTAGCGGTCACCAACGTGTATGGCCCTTCCGATCACAAATTCACCGATCTTTTCCTCGCCGAAGCTCGCGGATCGTCAGCCGCATCCATCTCCGATCCTCGGATTCTAATTGGCGATTTCAACCTCACTCGTTCTCGAATCGACAAGAACACGCCGTCGTTCAACTCTAATCTCGCGGCGCGTTCAACCACGCCATCGATGCGCTCCAGTTATCGAGCTTCCGCTTCTAGACCGGATGTTTACTTGGACTAACAAACGGGCTATTCCCACTCTTTTCTAGGCTGGATCGAGCTTTCATCAACATTGCCTTCAAGGATGCCTTCCCTTACCACCCTCTCCTCGGGCAACCGCCCCACCTCCGACCACACCCCTGCTTCCATCCGCAGACTAACATCCCAAAGCCCAACTCCTTCCTTTGGAAAGATCGTGGCTCCTTGATCCCTCCTTCCTCCCCTCGGTTACCCCGGCTTGCATTCATCCCTCATTCCGGGATAAGGCATGAGTTCGTTGCTCGGTCAAGGCGGTAAAGCAAGCGTTAAAGGTTTGGTCACAGTAAGCATCGCTCCAACCCCCCCCATCCCATCCCCCACCCCATCTATCACAATTGCCACTTCATTATATGCCTATTTGACTACTTCGAAGAAAGAAGAACCCTCTTTGCAGGTGAACGTTGTTAATTTCTGTGGATCGACTAGGGTAGATCTAGGCGGATGACACTTGGATCCGTAATAGCACATGCATATCTAAACCTAGAATACTACACCGAGAGGGAGATAGGGTAAGGGTGCTGGTGTTGAACCTGAGCCCTCGGAGGAAGTCGCGGTTGAGCTGGCCATCTCAGCTTCGGTGATGGAGGCAACACACGGGCAGCGACGGGTGGAGTAGAGGTTGCCTGACGTCGATCAAGGTCATGGGATGATGGCATGGCGATGACTATGGCGAAGTCAGTGAGCTTCCGTCACCGGGTCACGCCCTCTTAGATCGGTCTAGGGTTTGTCGGTGGGGTTTGCGGCTCACGGTGAACCTCGTTCCTCGAGCCGCTGGCCCCCCACCTCTTTATATAGCGCAGTGCGACGGGGGCCCATCAACCATGTAGGGTTGGGCGCCCCCGATCAGGGCGCGTGACCAAGGCCCAATAGGCCGTTGGGCTTATTGGTTGAGAGATCACTCTAACATTCTCCCCCTTGATCTCACTATTACTTTTATCTTTAAACTTTAAACTTCAATCCTTTTATCCTTACTCATTTCTTCACAGATGATGCATAGAGCATGTCTCATCGTCACGGTCAATCGCCGATAGATTTAACAGCTACAATGCACGTCTCTGATCTGAAATAGTTACTTTAACTTTTGGGCCCTTTATAGTCCAGGAATCATAGGCTTTCCCTTAAACCCATGCCGGCTACATGTTCTCTGAATACATTGGGTGGTAAGCCTTTTGTAAGCGGATCCGCGAGCATCTTTTCGGTACTTATATGCTCAAGACTTATCATTTGATCCCGGACTTTATCCTTCACAACATAATACTTTATGTCAATGTGTTTGGCAGCACCACTTGACCTATTGTTGTGAGCATACTGTACTGCTGGATTATTATCGCAGTATAACTTCAGTGGTCTATTGATGTCGTCAACCACCTTCAAACCGGGTATGAACTTCTTTAGCCAGTTCACCTGTCCCGTTGCCTCATAACACGCTACAAACTCGGCATACATTGTGGACGATGTAGTGACGGTTTGCTTTGAGCTTTTCCATGAAATAGCTCCCCCTGCGAGAGTGAACACATATCCAGACGTGGATTTTCTATTATCTCCCGCATAATCAGAATCTGAATATCCCACTATATGGAGTGAATCAGATCTTATATACGTCATCATGAGGCCTTTCGTTCCTTGCAAATAACGTAAGACTTTCTTTACCAATTTCCAGTGTTCTATTCTAGGATTGCTCTGGAATCTGCCAAGTAACCCGGTAACAAATGCCAAGTCAGGACGCGTACATACTTGAGCATATTGTAAGCTTCCGACAGCTGAAACATATGGAACCACTTTCATTTGATCGATCTCATATTGGTTCCTGGGGTATTGAAAATCATCATATATGTCGTCCTTGACTATAGGAGCAGGTGAGGGACTACATTTGTGCATACTGAATTTCTTTAAGACTTTTTCTATGTATGCCTTTTGTGACAGTCCTAATACCCCTTTACTTCTATCTCGGTGAATCTCGATCCCTAGAACGAACGAAGCTTTACCAAGATCTTTCATATCAAATTTTGAGGACAAAAACTTCTTTGTTTCCAGTAGTAGACTGACATCACTACTAGCAAATAAGATATCATCCACATACAGGACAAGGAAGATAAACTTCCTATTCTTAAACTTTGCGTAGACACAATTGTCCTCAACATTATCTTTAAACCCAAAATTCTTTATTGTCTGATCAAACTTCAAGTACCACTGTCTTGAAGCTTTTTTTAATCCATAAATGGATTTCTTTAGACGGCATCCTAAACGTTCTTTTCCTTCCATGATAAAACCTTTCAGTTGTGCCATGTAAACATTTTCTTCTAAGTCTCCGTTGAGAAATGCCGTCTTTACATCCATCTGATGTAATTCTAAATCGTAATGTGCCACTAATGCCATTATGATTCTGAAGGAATCCTTACATGAGACTGGAGAAAAGGTCTCATTATAATCAATCCATTCTCTTTGCGTAAAGCCTTTTGCCACAAGTCGGGCTTTATATCTCTCTATATTCCCTTGAGAGTCAAGTTTTGTTTTGTAGACTCATTTACAGCCTACTGTTTTGGCTCCTTTAGGAATTATCTCCAAATCCCAAACTTTATTTGCATTCATTGATCTCATCTCATCTTCCATGGCCTCAAGCCACTTTGATGAATGATCACTTTTCATGGCTTCTTCAAATGAGGTGGGATCTTCCTCCATTTGAAATTCTTCAGTGTTGTACACTTCATAATCAGCAGGAATAGCTAATTTTCTAACTCTTTGAGACCTTCTAGGGGCCTCCTCATTTGGCACATTTTCTGTTTGAGGCTGTTGTTGCTCCCCCTCATGTGTGGCAATAGTTTCTATAGGATCCTGAGGAACAGATTCCTCATCATCATTCATTGTTGCCACAAGCGGGATAACAACAGGTGCTGGCACCACAATATCTTGTACTGTCGGTGCAGCAACAGCAGGTAGTGAGAAAAATGGCTCATGAATTATTGGAGTAGGTGCATACACCCGCTTCTCTTCAAGGTCAATTTCTCGAGCTACCATGCTCCCCCTAATCATTTCATCCTCTAGGAAGACAGCGTGTCTCGTTTCCACAAACTTTGTATGTCTGTTAGGACAGTAGAAACAAAAACCTTTTGACTTTTCTGGGTAGCCAATGAAATGGCAACTCA